TATATATATATATATACACACACACACAAATTCAATACAATATTTATTGTGTGTGATAGTACAGGGAACAATGCCAATTAGAGATTGGTTAGCTTATAAAGATGACAAACAAAAGGAAATCCCTTCCTTTTTGGTTTGGAACAGATGCAAGAGGAGGTTATTCTGATGAAGGTGCCGCAGGACTTTACCACATCTTCTTGGAGGAAGACTTGCCCTGCCTCTTTTAGGATATGCTCTTGTAACTGAAAGAATGTACACACAATAAAAATATTATCGTTCTCCTTTGTCCATAGGCATATTAGAGAACTCAGGGAAGTAGTGTAAAAGTAGAGAACTTTATCTATAAAGAGTTTCTCAGTGACATTTGCCTTCTTGTCAGTTGGTTTCCATTACTTGCTAATCATCCTTGAAAAAACAGGCCAAAAAAATACCTCCAAATGATTTAGTTATTTTAATAAGGCTAATTCCTTTGCCTTTAATAAAAAAATTGGGCAGACTTTAATTATCAGGTCACCTTACTACTATTGTTTTCACTTCAGAATATTGTTCATTGTACTGGTTGGCTAGGGTTGTTGTAACAAACTATTAGACGGTTACTTAAAAATGGAAGCTTATTTTTCACTGTCCTGGAGGCTGAAGGTGCAAGGTCAAGGTGTGCACAGGTTTAGTTTCCTCTGAGGCTTCTCCCCTTAGTTAGCAGATGGCTGCCCTCCTACTGAGTCCTCACATGGCTGCCCTGAGTGGCCTATGTCCTCAGCTCCACCTTTTGAAATGACACTAGTCATAGAGGAAGCCCCACCACCACCACCAAACCCACTGTAACTTAGTCACCTCTTTAAAGGCCTTGTATCCAAACACAGCCTCAATCTGAGGTGCTGGGGTTTACAGCTTTAACAAAATTTGGTAGAGGACAGAGTCAAGCCTATAACATTTGTAAAACTTTAAATTAAAATGATTATTTCTCAAAACTCTCCATAAATTAAGTGCATCAAAATGTCTTGCAGGACTTGTTATTAAAATATTCTTGATTTTCTACCACACATGAAATGAATTTAGAAGAAAAGAAGTTGGAACTGGGCATGGTGGCACACACCTGTAATCCCAGCATTTGGGAGGCTGAGGCAGGAGGATCGTTGTGAGTTTGAGATCAGCCTGGGCTACAAAGTGAGCTCAAGGCCAGCCTGAACTGCATAGAGAGACCCTGTCTCAAAAAAAAAAAAAAAAAAGTTGGGAGAATCTGCATTTTAAATGTCAAAGTGAATCTAATGCACACTGAGGTTCAAGAGCTATTGACATAATGTTTCTATTATTCTTTAAGAGTTTGGTACTATTCTCTTATACATGGTGAAATTCATGATGCATAGGAATATTCGTTGTCTTTTTCCAGGAAGAAAAAATAATATTTTTGTGCTTATTTTATAGCATATAGAGCATTTTTCATGGCAAGCCCAGAGAGGAGATATTGTGAGGGGGAGGTTTCATAATGGTTTCAAATCAATAGCTTGTATCTGTTTCTAAATATGTAATGGGGATAATAATAATAGTACTGCCTACTTTGCGTGGTATTGTGGGATTTGAATTGTTCCATACAAACAACCTGGAATAATTTTTGTCACTTACTAAGTATGTGGTAAATTCACAATTACTACTGTCAGGTTGAAAGTGAAATTCAGCTTCATAAGAACTGATAATGTTCACAAATCTCCACAGCTAATATATAATATAGTCAGAATTTGATCCCTGGTTAAGTGGCTCCAACTCTAATATTCTTTCCACTGTTTTGAAGAAAAGATATTATTTTTTAGTTTGTATCAGTTTTTCCAAATTGATATTTTATTGCTTTCTAAGAGGACAGATATATTACAATATACTTTAAATCTGCCTCTTCTTTGCCTAAGTAGGAGTAGAACAATGATTAAAAGTGTTTTAGTGTGAAGAAATTGTGAACAACCATT